CGACAATATCGGCCACGGGCGTCGGTTCGGTGATCGCATGCGCCCGAGGTCAACATCAGGGGCGCGTGGGAAATCGCTGTGTTGCAGCAGTGTCCTTTCTTGGGGCCCCCTTGGGGCCATCTTGGGGAGCTCTGAAGCGAAGAGGCGAGAATGCCAGAATCACTGAAAGACACTGAGTTCTTGCAAGGTTTTGGCATGCTGGAAACGTCTCGGACTGTCTTGGACACCTTGGGCCGCCTCGGGGCGATGTCAGGGCCTCTTAGGGCAACCTTGGAGGCATACTGGAGTTCGTCAGAGGCCACAGTGGGGCGTGTCGCCCCATGGAGCCCGATCTTGAGCTGCCCTGCGGACCTTCTGAAGCTGTGTTGGGCCTGCGCTGGGGCGCTGCTGGGGGCATTCCGAGCCTGCCTGGGGAATTTTTCCCAGGCCCCACATGGAGCCATCTTGGGCGATGTTGAAGCCATCTTGAAGCCTGCGAAGCCCAGATCAAGCGAAAAGGTTATCAAACACAGTGTTTTCAACATATTGTGTGTGTTTTGCTGGGTTCCAGCCTCTTCAGGAGTCCCAGGGGCTGGAGTGGACCATTTTGGGCCACCTCGGAGCTAGCTTGGGACTTCTTGATGCCGTCTCGGGTGCGCACTGGGGTTGCTCAGGGGCCATATTAGGGCCTGTCACCCCTCGATGCCCGCTCTTGGGCCGCCATGGGGCCCCTTTGGAATTCTATGGGGCCTCTTTTGGAGCCCTCGCGGGGACCTTCGGAATCATATTAGGGGCCTTCTCCAGGCCCCATGTGGAGCGATCTTGGAAGGATCCTGGGGCTTCAGAGTCCCAGCGGAAGCGACAGAGCGGAACACCCATCCCCAAGTTCATAAGAAGCGCACGCGATGTTCGCAGGATCTCGGCCTCGTTCTTGGAGCGGCCTTGGATCATCTCGGGTCGCCTCATTTTGTGGTTGCGTTCGGGTCACCAGTCGGGCAGAGTTGAAGCCATATTGGGCGATCTTGGGACCACTCTGAGGCTTCAGAATCCGATGGGCAGCGAAAGGGCAAGAACCCCACGCTCGAAGAAACGCACATCAGGTGTTTGAAGGATTTCGGTATCGTGGAGGGTTTCTGGGGGATTGCCGTGGTCAGCATTGAGCCACCTCGGTGGTATCTGAGTGTCTCTAGAAGCTGTCATGGGGACGTCCTCAAGATGCTCAGGGCCCATACTGGGGCCTACCACCTCTTGATGCCTGCTCTCGGGCCACCTTGGTGCCCTGTTGCGGTTGTTTGGTTTTTTTTAATGGAGTTGTCACGGGGGCGTTCGGGGCCGTCTTGGAGTCCTTCCAGGCCCCCAGTTCAAGCCATTGTCGGCAATATTGGGGCCATCCTGAGGCATCAAAATCCCATAGACAGCGAAACACAAGAAAGCCAAGCCCAAAGAACATCGCATAAGGTTGTTGACGGGTGTCGGCCTCCCTCAGGCTTCTTCAGGGCTGTCTTGGCAAATCTTTGGCCTCATCGAGGCTACATCAGGACCGTTTCACCTGCCACACCTTGATGACCGCTCTTGGTCCGCCCTGGGGCCCATGTTGGGACGCTCTTGGAGCTGTCTTGGGCCTCTACTGGGGCTCTCGCGGGGGCATTCTGAGCCGTGTTGGAGCTTGTCCAGGCCCCACGTGGAGCCATGTTGGGTGATTTGGGAGCCATTCTTGAGGCTTCGGAACCCCAGGGGCAGCGGAAAGGTGAGAATTAGGTTAGAAAAAAAGGTTCGGCCTTTTGGTCTGGAGGTTTCTTGCGGGCTGTTTTGAACCATCTTGGGCCACCTCGGGGCCATCTCGGAGTTTCTTGGGGCGCTTGGGCTCATGGGCGTGCCACCCATTGATCAGCTCTTTGACTATAGCCGAGCATCTGATTACGAAGCCTCCTGCCGAAAAGCTGGGCCAGCGTTTCTCAGCCAACTTGCCAGAAAGCTGGCTCACTTTCTTGAGCGCGTTCGCCCCTCCCTTTGGTGACACTCGACATTGGCCCAGGTTTCTTACACGGTATTTTATTGGTCATACTGTCGGCTGTAAATGTCATCCAGGGGCCGCCACGCGCGCGCGCGAACTAGCAAGTCAATGTCCCTGAGCCTCTCACCAGAGATGCTAGTACGACTTTTGCCCGTTTGGCCAGCGAATTCCGCCCCCCCCCCCCAACACACACACACACACACAAACACGCACACACACACGCGTAACAGCCCCGTGGAGTAGAAATTTCCAACGAGGGCCGTCCCAGAACATCTGCGCACACAGCCTCGAAGGTGTCTCCTCCTCCCTCGTCTCCCCCCGCCTACCTCTTCGCCTTTTCTCCATGCCCCTCCAGGGTCCACTATTAGTGGACCCCGGAGACGGCGCGTGTGCCCGCGCGGGTAACGCGCGGGCACGAACGACTGGCCCTCAATGACCGCCAACATTGGATGCCAATCGTACCCGATCACATACATGAACGATACATTGAGCATACATGGGCCATTCAGCCCCCATTGAAGACACCCTGTTGCAGACCCCCTCTTTCACCCTCCAAACTAAGAGCTGTGAGACTCGGCGGTTCTGGAGGAACCGGCGGCCCTGGAGGAGGCATCTCGGGCGCCGCGGCCTTCACGGGGCGTTCGATATAACGCTCCGAGGGGGTTCCCTGGAACGCCTCGGAACGGATTTACAGTCAGCCCGTATTATCCTAAGGATGCGCGAGGTACGGAGGCAAGAGCCCTGGGCGCCGATGTCGAAGCTCCTCGAGCGGGGCGCGGCCAGCGAGGGCGGCCAAGGACGGAGCGAGGAGGCAGGGATGCATGGGCACCCTGGAGGAGGGTTGCCCATCCTCACTAGGCGGATTGACCGTATAGGTCCCTCTCCCCGAGAGCCCGCCGGCTTTCGACCACCCCCTCTCCTTGATCGAGCGTGGTTCCACTTTCGAGGCCAGCCAGGATCAGGAGGGGAAAAAACACATAGACACAATTCATCGTCGATTCCCACGAACAGATGGGTAAATATGGGAAGTGGGCTGGAAGACAAAAACGCAGAAAACATAGGAAAATATATGGGGAGTATTTTTATTTGTTGGTATTTCTTTGTGTGTGTCCTGGGGCCCCATTCACAGGGGGCAGCTTTGCGAGGGCGCCCGCGGCACTGCGGGTGCCGGCCAGGTCCCTTTTTCAGCGCTTCCGAAGCGTGCCTCATGAGGGCTGAACCTAAACGGTGTTTTTCGTTCTCGTTTTGTTTTCGTTCTCCCTCGTTTTTGTCTCGAATCCGCCTTTGCCGCAAGAGCGAAATCGGAACGAAAACGGCCCGCGAGATCGCCAAAAACACCGTTTAGGTCCAGCCCTGTTTCCTGATCCTGGCGATGCTAACCCTGGCTGCGGCTTGCAGGAAGCGGCACAAAACGGCAACCGGAAACGGCAACCAAAAGCGGCTCCAGGAGTGGAAGCGGAGCCAGAAGCGACAGAACAATGGCGACGGAACCGGTGGCAAAAACGGCGTCGTGACCGGCCAACACAAGGGCAAAACGGAACCGGTAACAAGACGGCCCTGTCGTTTGCCAGGGCCCACTCGAGACTAGAAGTCCAGAGCCGCCGGATCCTCCATTACCAGCCTGGAACATATCCCTATCCCTATGTTTGACATCACCTCACCTCGATGCCGATCGTAAGGCTTCCCGCAGTCTTTGAGGGCCTACCCCTAAGATTGTCCTCGCTTTTTGCTCGCCCATCTTAGGGATAGGGATACTCGGCGGTGGACAAACCTCCCTTTAGTAAACCTCCCTTTAGTGAAAACGGCCTGGGACCAAAACCCACGGAGCTGTACCCGCAAAAATGACGTCCGCGACGCCCTCTCGCGAACCGAAAACGGCCAGTTCCTTAATCGACGTGTCGGGGTAGGAGGTCTGTCCACCCCCGAGATACGTTCGAGGCTGCTTACTCCAGAGCCGCCGAGCCTCACAGCTGCGATCTGCGAGCCTCGCAGGTGTGCTCCCCCGGGAGGGAGAGGCCGCGCCGCCGGGCTCTCGCGGAGAGAGCCCCGAGGCGGCCGAGGGGCCTCGGCCGGGCGCGCTCGCGGCGGGGGGGCTGCTGCGAGGTCGCCGACGGGAGCGGCTTTTTGGGGGGACTTTCCGAGGGCTGTCGTCGGTCGGAGTAAGCCAGGGGGGGGGTGGGGGGGGGCACGGAGGACGGGAGGGCGGGGCCACGGTCGGTTGGAATGAGCCAGGGGGGGGGCGCCGCCGCACCTTTCCCTTCATTCCCCGCCCCTCCCTCCCCACGTTCCCCACCCCAGCGTTCCCCACCAGCGCTTGGCTGAAGTCGGGCGTGTCCCTCTAACAGGAGGAATATGTTCCCAATCCGGCTAGACAAATAGTCTGGGGGCGACGTTCGTAGCATTTCTGAGCTAATTCGAGGCATCTTATAATTAGCTTCGTCCAAAATCCGCCCGTAGGAGGACATGCCCGACCTAGCGCTTGGCCCTGAGTGCTCAGAGTGGTGGCGCGTTGTGTGAATGGGTGCTTCTGCATCCCTCCATCCCTCCCCCTCCCTCCTCGTCCTTCCTCTTCTTCCATCCGTCTCTCCCCTTTGTGTTTCAGGCGGCAGACGAGCCGCCGGGAAGGTCAGTCTTCCCCCCGCCTCCACATCCTCATCATCATCATCATCATCATCATCATCATCATCATCATCATCATCATCATCATCATCATCATCATCATCATCATCTGTTTTCCTTCTCCTCCTCCTCATCATCTTCACCGTCCTCGCAGGGAGAGCTTGCTTTCTTGCCGTAGGCTGCCTTGCGGCTCAAGGTGTGAATGTAAGTGACCCTGCCTCCAGGGTCGGTCACGCGCGCGAGCGATAGACCCTTGTTACCACCAGTTCACCCCCGTCCCCATCTCTCCTGTTCGTGCGCTACGGCGGACGAGGGGAGCGGAAAACGGGGGGAGAACTGCACTGGCTGCTCGCAGCAGAGGTCTTCCAGCGAGGGCGCCGCTAGGGAAATGGGTCGCTGGGCTCCCTGGTCCCTCCTGCTGGGGCAGCTTGCCCAGGTGCTGTCACAACGGCATGTGCGAGTGCCTACGGCAGAAGTGGCGCCCGGTGTCAGCATGCCGGTGATGTCCATTGGAACCGGCGGGCTCGAGAGCCGTGCCGCCACCGAGATCGTGAGCAACTGGCTCAGCCTGGGGGGCGAGGGGATAGACACCGCGAAGGTCTATCGGGACCAGGACGTTGTGGCCAAGGCAATCAAGGATGCAGGAGTTGACCGGAAGAAGCTCTTCATCACAAGCAAGGTTCCGGGTTGCATGAACGTGAGGGCAAATGTGGAAGACGACCTTCAGCAGCTCGGCACCGACTACATCGACCTGTTGCTCATTCACTTCCCGCAGCCGTTCTTCATGTGTCGCGATGCGTGGGCAGTTCTCGAGGATTTTCACTCCAAGGGCATCCTGCGTGCCATTGGCGTCAGCAATTTCAAAAAAACAGACCTAGAGTCGCTGCTGAAGAACGCGACGGTGGTGCCCGCCGTCAATCAGATTCAGCACAACGTGTTCCACCACGACGACGAGACCATCGCATTCGCACGCGCTCACAACATCACCATCGAGGCATACTCGCCGCTCGGACGGAGCAACAGCTCCGAGGTAACGGGGAGCCCCGTCGTCCGCGCGGTCGCCGACAACCACAACGTCACCTCTTTCCAGGTTGCCCTGAGATGGGCGTTGCGCTCAGAGGTCTCTGGGCTCGGCCGTGGATCCTCTACAGCACTTCGACAGATCTGGGTGATGGGCCTGTTTTCCACCACCACCATACGTTGGAGGGGGGAAGGAGGTGGAGGACGAGGAGGAGGAGGACGACGAGGAGGAGGAGGAGGAGGAGGAGGAGGAGGAGGAGGAGGACCCCCTCCCCCTCCAACTTATGGTGGTGGTGGTGGAAAACAGGCTCATCACAGGGCTCGGGCAATCGACCGAGTGCAGCAGGTTCGTGTCTCCTGTCGACCAGCGGCGACCCCGCCGCTGGCGTTCCACGTTGAGCGCCGCTGGCGACCCAACATCGGTCGATGTTGTGAACGATTGGACAGTCGGAGACGGCCGATCGTTCAAAAATTGAACGATTCCCAACGTGTCAGGAGCCAACGCCGAGACCGACACGACACGGACCCGCGGTGCACGATCAGTGGAGTCGCCAGCGCTCTGAGGCAGGTCGGGTCAGCTGGATCAGATGGGGATCGGGCTGTCGATCTCATCGGGGGACTCCCAAGATCTTGCAGCACGGCCACCTGCTTACGTTCCAGTCCACCTCGACGGCTCGGGGCGGACAAAAAGGGGGGTCGATTTTCAGTCGGGCATGTCCCTCTACTGGAGGAATGTCCAAAGATGGTTTGACAAAGATGAGGCTGGGGACGATGTGTCTAATAGTTTCGATAATGTTTGATTCGTTTTGGCTACTTTTATGTCGGGCGTGTCCCCCTACAGGGGGATTTTCGACGAAAGGTAAAAAAGAAACAAAATACCCCAAGAAGGTCAAAACATATTCAAAACATAGTCCCCAGACTAATTTCTGATTATGGTTTGATTATGTTGGGGGTATTATTTATTTTTCGTCGAAAATCCCCCTGTAGGGGGACAGGCCCGACTTAAGACTACTTGTTCTAGTTTTTTGTTCCTGCGAGCTCCGCCTGTGGGAGGACACGCCCGAAGGGCAGATTATGGGGAAGGCGGGGCATGTCCCTCTCTTGGAGGAATGCCCAAAGATGGTTTTTGACAAAAGTGAGGCTGGGGACGAGGTGTCTACTAGTTTCGATGATGCTTGACATGTTTTGGCTGCTTTTTTTTTGTTGTTTTTTGTGCTTGCGAACTCCGCCTGTGGGAGGGCACGCCCGAAGGGCAGATCATGGGGCAGGCGGGGCGGGGCGGCGCGTGCTGCGGCGTGCCGCTGGTGCTGGCCCCGCCGCCGGGCGCCCTCCTCGCCGCAGCGGCCGGGTGCTGCCAGAGTTCAGTCGGGCCTGTCCCCCTACAGATCAGAGCCCCGAATCATCAGGGGTAACTCGGGTCAGGGATAACTCGGGTTCGTTTTTCGGGAATCCAAGCCCGAGTTACCCCGGACCCGAGTTACCCCGGATAACTCGGGCGTCCAGAGCCCCGAATCATCAGGGGTAACTCGGGTCAGGGCTAACTCGGGTTCCTTTTTCGGGAATCCAAACCCGACTTACCCCGGACCCGAGTTACCCCGGATAACTCGGGCGCCCAAACAGAGGGGATGCCCCCAAAATACTCCAACAACAGTCCAATAATAGTCTGGGGGCTATCTTTCCAGTATTTGTTCACCTGTCCCCTATACAGGGGGATTTTCGACGAAAAATAAAAGATACCCCCAAAAGAATCAAACCATAATCCAAACATAGTGTGTTGTTTTGTATGTTTTGACCTTCTTGGGATATGTTTGTTTTTTATATTTTTCGTCGAAATCCCCCTGTGGGGGGACACGCCCGACACGATGCTAGAAGTGCCCCCGGCCCAGGGCGCCCCCGGGATTCCCGAGGAGCTCCAGCGGCCTCCACAGAGCACTCCTCGCGAGGTCCAGAGGGCCCCAGGGGCTCCAGAAACCTGCGAACAGCTGGGGGCACCCTTGGCCAGGGGCACTTCCAGCGACACCCGAAGCAGTGGCGCTTTTCTTCGTCACCTGCCGGGGAGGCCAGCGGCTGCAGCGGAGGCGCGACCCCCCCCCGCCGCTGCAAAAGCCCCCTTCCTCGGTCGCCCGGCCCGAGAGGCGCACCAGTCTGTGGACGCAGACGTCTTCGACTTCGAGCTCACGAGCGAGGAGATCAGAGGCAACGATAGGGGGGGTATAGGCAAAGAGGGGGGACGCATCGACCCCCAATCGCCCACTGATCGCCGATATGGGACCCCAAAGCCCCAACCCGCCCAGGAAGGTGCGGACTCACTATCGGAGGCCTATCGCCGATCTATCGGCGATGTATCGCCGAGACCAGGTCGATGCGTTCCCCCCCCTTATGCCAGTCCCCCGAGGACTATGATGTTCCAACCCACTTTAGCCTCCATCACCAGAAAGCATTTCGAGCACCGAGAGAGTACCGAAGCTGGAGGGTGTTCGCGCGTCGGGCCCTGGGAGGCGAGGCTCGTTCGACACTGTTTCGATACTCTCCTGGGTGCTCGGAAGGATTTCTGGGATGTGGTCCTCAAGTGCGATGGGAGCAGCATTAAAAAAAAGCGAGGAGATGGAGCGCCTGGACCAACTGCAGGGGCCCGCGCTGGCCCAGCAGGCGCTCGTCGTGTAGGGCGGGCCAGCCGACGTGGCCCAGAGGGCCGCCGGCTCATTGCTGCCCCTGTCCTTCTGCTCAACCGCCTGTGCCTGCTCCTCCTCTCCCTCCTCCTCAGTAACAGAGAAGGCAGAATCAAAGGCAGAAGAGCAGAGCGAGCACACCGTACAGCACAAGCGTCGGGCAGATGCCACCCCACTGCTGACAGCCCGAGCCACACGTTTGCCGCCACTCACCAGAGCATGCAGTTGCCCACGCCTGTGCGCAACCACTCTACTCAGTTGCATCTGCACCAGACACAGTTAACACCACATACGCGTTAGTAGTCAGCAACACTCGGCAGTCCGATCCAGACACTCTACGCAACAAAAGCAAGTATCACCGAAACGTGTCCGTAGAGTGGTTGGAGTTGCTTCCCGCTGGGTTTGGCGGGCCGCAACAACTTCGATCGCGATCTTGGCCCCTTCCACATGCGCCACAAACCTCTTCTGCATCCTCCGACTGGCAAGGGTGCCATAGCCCCCAGGGACTTTGCAGGTGTGGAGGAGGGAACCCAGCTGACTGCTGCTCGCAGCACTGCGGCTCAAGCACGCGACCACCGCATTGTCAGGGCGCTCACTCTCCCAGAGTGGTGCGACATCTCACGAGCCCGTTTCCTCGCTCACCGTCGGCACAGCCCAGGATACACCACCGCCAGCTGTACGGCGTAGCCCCGGGGCGCAGCCTACGAATTGGCAGCAGCGCCAGCACAAGCGATCCAGTGGCCACACTCTTCGACCAGGACCTGCGATATGAAGCTGGACCACCAAGCGACGGCGATGTCGCCCGCGGCAGCAGTGGGCCACCGAAGTATCCAGAATGGCATACCTTTCTCAGCATTTTCATCGCGACTGTTCAATCTCAGGGATCAGCGGCAGGAGCCACGAGTGTCCTTGTCGTCCAGCCCACGCGTCCCTCAGGATGCACTGCTTGCTTGCTTGCCGGGCCTCGCCCGTTCAGCACGACTCCGAGCTGCTGCGAACTTGGCCCAAACGTCGGCGCCAGAGTTGCCGACGCGAGGTCGGCCCGAGACAGGGCCGCCCTCGACGGCCTCCACGCTTTGGCGAGCATTCGCCTTGCTGACCGTGGGGCCCTGGGGCCCGAGCTCCCCTACAATGGAGACCCATGCCAAGAAACACCCTGCTTGCCTCCAGGGTGCCCTGGTGTTCTTGGGTTTCGACGGTTTTGCGATGGGTGCCCTCGTTCCCACACCACAAATCAATGGACGTCCTGGGGTCTCAGGGTTGGGTGTCTCATGGAAGGTTTCTGGTGGACTGGCCTCCACTGTACAGTTCAGCCCCGTCCGTGTCGATACACAATCCTGGACAGACACCGTGCACAATGTCCTGGACACACCGAGGGGGTCCTCAGGCCGAAGAGAGGTGTTCACCCACCCCGCCACCGTGACGGCGCCCCTGTCCTCCTCAGACACGGAGCCATGCAGAGAGGCCTGCCATGTTGTCAGGACCTCGTCCCCAGCGTGCCTCTGCCACGTCGTGCCAGCGTCGGCAGGTGGCTGGAAGCCAGTGGGGAGAGGACGAGCCCGCACCTGCACCCGCTCAAGCAGACATTGGATGTGAGGATCAAGTATGCGACCGCGACGCTTTTGAAACCTACTCAGCTGCGGCGCTCGAGTACAGACGGGGCCCTGAAGAAGGAACCCTTTTCGTTGGGGAGGGGCTCCGCGTTCCTTAAATGTTTCGCAGCTTGCCTCAGGTTTTCCTCATGTCTTCGATCGGAAATCGAAGTTTAACTTATGGAAAAAAAGGGGCCTCGTTCCTTGTCTAGGGTTCCTTAGGTCAACGCCCCTTCTGTACTCGGCTGCGGCGCTCGAGTACCCCGATGCGCACACATGGGGAGTGCCGAGGAGCCAGGGGCCCCCACCCCAGGATCCGGGCGGCAGCCCGAGAGCTCGATCCGCAGCGTGCCTCGCGTCACCAGCACGCCTCGCGAGCAGGCCCAGGCGTCCACGCGGAGCCCACCCAGCTCTCCGCCCCCCCCCCTCGAGCTGCGGCCGACCTGCCGCGCACACGCCGGCAGGAGGGGCGGAGGAGGAGGAGGAGGAGGAGGAGGGTCCCCCGCGCTCGGGGGGCCAGGCCCGGCGCCACGGGAGCCGCGCCCGGCACGCTCCCGTGGCCTCGGCGCCCCGAGCGGGGCAGCCCACGAGGAAGCCAGCGCGGGGCCTCGCGGAGGTCCGTCGGGCCCCATCATTCGCACGCCGGGTCAGCACGTCGTCGTCTGGAAGTTTCCAGGGGATCCACTCCAGCGTCGGCTTGATGGCCCCGGCGGGCCCACTGCCTCCTGGGGCCCGTGGACCACGCCAGCGGCCTGATCGAGGCCGAGAGCATCAAGGCCTTGATCGGCGATCATTGGCCTTGATGTGGGCTTCACAATGGGCAACTGTGGGCTTCACTAATCAGCGACATCAGCGTCGCCCGAAAGAGCAGTTTGAGCCCCTTCCCCATCATGCCACAGTGTTGAGAAACTTGCCATTCGTCCGCCACTCGTCCGAAGCTCAGCAGCGGCAGACGTGAGGCGTGCGAGCCTGTTCCAGCTCCGTGCTCGAGGTACCCGTGACCAAGCCGCCATGCATGATTTCTGTTTCTTTCCCTTCTCTTCCTCATGGCGCCAAGTTCCGGATTTCGTAGTGCGTTCCGTGCAGGTTGTTGTTCGGCCAGGAGCGAAGATGACGAACGATCCACGTCAATTCTACTCCGGTTTTCACTCGCCGTTTCGGGGTTGCGCATTCAAACAAGCCCACGCACGAACATACGCTGAAGCACATCTGCAAGGTCGGTGCAATGACCCTCCTCCTCCCCCCTTGCCGTTCTTGCGCTCCCCCTTCCCAAAGAGAAATGTCCGCAGGCTTGAATGTAGGTTACCCGCCTTGCAAGATGACAGACCACGACGGCGCTGCCCAGCGACACAGCGCGGGGAGGCAAGGGTCACCCATCGTTTGCAATTTTAGGCCCGTCGTGCGCTGTGGCAGGCGCAACTCCTCCTCCTCCGCCTCCTCCGCCTCCGCCTCCTCCTCCTCCTCCTTCTCCTCCTCCTCCTCTCCTCCTCCTGCTTCTCCTCCTCCTCCTCCTCCTCCTCCTCCTCCTCCTCCTCCTCCTCATCCTCCCCCCCCCTGACGCTGATGCTGGTGGCGGTTCTGATGTCACACCTGGCGCTATCGATAACCCCCCTGAGCCTAAACAATTCTGAGGGCGAGTGCCAGTGGGGGGCCCCCAACAGTCGTTGGTACAGTCGCGCGCTCCTAGTCTTCCTGTCCTCCTCCCCTCCCATATCTCATCTCTCAGTCGCTTCCTCCGCCGTCTCCTCCTCCTCCTCTCCTCGTTTCCTCCATCGCCTCTTTCCGGGGATGCACACACGCAGCGTCCGCGTTCGTACGCAGCACCAGAGGCGTTAACAAATCGCCCCCCCCCCTCCTGCTGCGCCCCCCTCTTCCCCCCTCAAGTGGCCAGTGCTTTCTTACTTCTGGCATGGGTCAGGGTTTAAAGTTATACGTTGCCAACGCGTGCGACAACCAATGTTGGCAACCGCGCTGCCCACTCTCCCTCCTCTCCCTCGAGGCTGGTGCTTTGCATGGTGGAGCCCCCTTTTCCCTCCGAGGGAAAGCTGGCAAGTTCCATCCTCCGCGCACTGGTTCTGTGGGGGGAAATCACAAAATAGTCTGGGGACTCTCTTTCGAGTATGCTAGGACCTTTTTGGGTACATGTTTGGGGTATTTGTTCTGTCGTCGGAAATCCCCCTGCAGGGGGACAGGCCCGACGAGCGCCGTGGGGGTGCGAAAGGGGGAAGCGCACGGGCCCCGCGCGGCGGGGGCGCCAGCGAACTGCGGCAGGAGATCTCGAGCTTCCACGCGGCCGGGTCGCGGCTCCATCGCGTAGCCTTGCTCAAAGAGAGGAAAGGTGCTCCAGATCTCGTAAGAAAGGGAGGGGGGTCTCATTTCGGGGGGGGTCTCCTCCAGGCTATCTTGGGGGGCCTGGGAGGGTCTGGGGACGATGTTTTGGAGGGTTCTCCCACGGGGGAGGTCTGAAATGGCTTGTCTTGGAGGGTCCAGACCCCCTCCCTTTTATTACGACATCTGGAGTACCCGTACATCTACCCCCCTGGTCCGTTTTCCCCCTCTTGGGCCTCCTGGGAGGCTCTCGTCGCCACCGCTGGATTCGCCTCGAAATCCTGGTCAGAACGCACCCCAGGAGAGGCTCTGGGGGTTGCGGTACTGGTACCTGTTGGTTTCCCCTTCTGTTTGTTTTGCATCTCATCGGGTTTGTTTCTGGGGGTCGGTGGAACGACGTAAGTTTAACAGAACATGAAACATGAGCATTCGCTGTTCAATGCTAGTCTAGGACCCCGCCCAGCTCAGCTAAACCGCCAAAGTCTATCTCAGCCCAGCACATCCCAGCGCAAGCAATGCCGAACAATACCAATACAAGATCTAATATGATCCGAGCCTGGGTCCATCAAAAAACATGGCTGATTCTGCGGTTGATGTCATAGCTTCGTTTGTGAGAGGCCTCGCTGAAGCCAACCGATTCGAGCCAACACTGTCATATGCTGGGTAACTTTTCTGGCGCTCAGCGAATGGCTTGGGCACGCCGTGCAGAGAATGGGGGGGTCTGGCACGAGAGAAGCGAGGAATTGAGCTGAAGAGAGGGTGGAGCAGGATATCAAGGAGGCATTGACCTAAAACACGTTGGGAGCCGCTTGGGTCTATGTTGGGCCGTTTGGGGGTCTTTTTGGTGGCCTTTTCGGGGCCATCTTCGTGTTTTCCCGATGCCGCTGGGCATTGGTGTCCATTAGACGGTCTCAGGACCAGATGTGGCCTTTGGGTGTCGGCAGTGGTGGAGCGGTCTGGTGCGGGGTTGGACTCGTGGTGGACGCCAGTCGCGGGCCTCTTGGGTCATACTGGGCGATCTTTTGGGGTATCCGGGGCAGCCTGAGGGCCTCTTTGGGGCATTGGAGTCTTTCTC